ATGTAAAATAAAAATAAATGTAAAAAAAAAATAAATGGAAGGGTTCACTTAGTTTTTCACATCGGATTTTTTTAATAAATATTTTTAATCCAGCTTCATAAAAATCTGTGAAAGTCGTTGTAATTCATTTAATAAAGTTTTTTCTTAATTAATATATACTTGAATTTAGAATTGTTGCATATCTGGAAAAAGAGACAATTACTTTAAATATTATTTTAGAACTTCACATACTTTTTCACAGCACTGTATATTCATACAGGTTATTCAATATATATATGGATTTTTTTAAAAATGTGTTTCTGGTCTCGCGACCGTCATCAGGTGGAGATTTCCACATATTATTAAAAATAATTTTTTTTTTTCTTATGTTTTTTAAGTTAAATATTCTCGACATGAGACCATCTCTTTTTTGTGTATATGATTTATACATATATATATATATATATATATATATATATATATATATATATATATATATATATATATATATAAGAAGAAAGAACAGTAAGATATATAATCCGGTGTTCTTATAGATATTTTTATTTTTACAAAATAGTGCTCAATGTAAATTTACAGAGCATTAATATTAATATTAATAAATTCGGGGCTTTTAGCTTCCATTTTTGAAACATGGTTAGAACTATGTAGCGAAAAAAAACATATTTTAAATCAATTAATTTATAATATATATATATATATATATATATAGAGAGAGAGGGGGGTATAGATATGTGTGTGTGACTTTTTAAATCATTTCACTCCAAGCAAGGCAATAACGCATGAGATTACCGTGTGTTAGAGACTATACGAAAGAACATTATTGAGGAGCGATAAAAATAAAAGGACACCGACGAAGAAAACAGAAGATAACAATTGAAATTGCAATGAATTTTTTGAAGAATGAAGTTGGCGTGAAAGCAATGGAGCTTACGGTTGAATCTAGCCAATTCAACTGAACATTGATGAGAGCTTGTTGTCTATCTAGTATTGCATTTACATTCATACGTTCTACGTAGTATGAAGCGGAGTTCATCAGGACAATTACGATGAAAATATTTATAGAAAAGCTAGAAGGAAACTAAATCACTCTGGTGGGAAAAGTACTGAAGCCAAGTTGCCAGGCCAGAAACAATAACATTACAGACTCCACACAAACATATATATATATAATAATAATATATAATAAACTATGAAATCTCTACAAATATCCTTAAATGTCTATAATTGGTAACAAAAGCTTCCCATACTTAATACTTCTCGAATTCACTCTCGCGTCTTATATGCACGTTTTTATCGTTGCTTGGAAATCATCCATATAAACAGAAAAAGACTTTCATCACATTCTTGTTGCTTAATATATTGTACAGTAATTGTCATCTTTGATAATGTCTTATGTAAGCAGAAAGCTTAGATTGGATTAAAAAAAATATGTATCAATATTGTGATTTTCTTTCTTCGTTTAATGATAATGTTATTAAGCTTATCAGACGTTATATAAAATAGACAACACTTCTCTATATTAGTTAATGAAACATATATATATATATATATATATATATATATATATATATATATATATATATATATATATACTGTCAAATAGTGCTTCATTCACTTTCTCGATTTCTTTCTACTCTCTACGTATATTTTTGAAGACCTGGGTGATTACACACACACACACACACATATATATATATATATATATATATATATATATATATGAATGCACATACACACACATACACACATATATATATATATGCACACACACACACACACACACACACATATATATATATATATATATATGCATGTGTGTGTGTATGTGTGTATGTGTATGTATATTCACCCAGGTCTTCATAAATATACGTAGAGAGTAGAAAAGAAATCGAGAAAGTGAATGAAGCACTATTTGACAGCATATATATATATATATATGTATATATATATATATATATATATATATATATATATATGTGTGTGTGTGTGTGTGTGTACGTATGTATGTATAATGTATATGCATACATGTTTCGTTAAAGACGACAGACATGATCCTGCGATTAAGCATTTTATTTATTTTTCTTGTGTTCGTACAAGTGTTTTCTTTTCTGAACACAAAGTCTGTAAAACTGACCAAAAGTTCTGCATTTTGGCAATACTTTTCAGCATTATCAAGGATGATTTTAATTTTTATTTTAACTAAATGTGTGGGTTGTGTGATGTATGCATCTAGAGTTAAATAAATGTTTATTTTCAAAACACGTTCAGTGCATTGTGGCCGTGTTCATAATTGATGTTGGTTTTTTCTTTTGTATTCTTAGGGCTTCCATTATTTTTAATCTTTTTTACATGTGGATCAGTACATATATATATATATATATATTAGTTTTCTCCATTAGGTCACGTAAAGAAGCGGCATATCACGATGAAAAAAGGGCCATAATTCAACGAAAACTAAGTTTTGTTTAAATTATGTTTATGTTGTTATGAAGAGGAAAGACCAAAGTATTTTTTAAATATTTTTTTAAATTTTTACTCCTTTCTAACACGTAGAAAATTTTGGTTAAATATCATTTTTTTTTTTTATGACAGCGCGAAAAGCCTAAAAAAGGTTTGTTTTATTTTGCGCTTTTCCCGAGGAAAACACGCGTTAATTTAGGAAATTCTTGCAAAAATCAATTAATTGTTGGATTTTAATGAAACTTTCAGGACTTATTTAGAATTGAATGAAATTAATTTTTAATTTTTTTCAGAAAATCTTGTTAAAAACAGATTTTTTTTTTAATGTGTTTCCACCCACTTACATATTTTCATGAAATTTCGAGAAATTAAATCTTCACGCGCGGGATTTTTTTTATTAGTTATAAACAGGACACTTTGTAGAAAGTAAATCACCAGTTTTTATTTATTTTTTTTTTTTTTAAAAAAAAAAAAAACATTACGCGGTTTCATAGAAAATCTGCTTTGAATTGTAAAAAAAAAAATGTAAAAAAGTATGACATTAATTAATTAGAAAAGCTTCCACCTGTTTTTGTAGATACGTTATACTAAGGACATCATTTTGTGAATAAATAAAATGTTTTCGATGCATAATGTATTTTTTACAAATTTTTCCCCATTTTTAAAATTTTTTTCATTAACTTCTTAATACTTCAAAAATCGTTTAAAATTCTTTATTTCTTTCACGCATGTAATGCAATGATAACGTTAATGAAAATGTAAATTTATAAATCAAACTTTGAAAAGCGCATAACAGTCGTTTGACGCGAATATTTTTAAAATAATTTTAAAAAGAAATTTTTATTGAAAAACTGTTTATAATTTCTATGTATGGAAATGTATACGCGACATTAAAAAGGTCACGTGATTTATGTCGTCTGGTTATTTATCTTCTCTGTCCAGTTCAGATTCACATCGTTAACGTGTTTCCAGAAATTCTTTTCAAATTTTAAAAGTAAGGGTTAGGGTTTAAACAATTGTCTAATTAAGAAATTATGAAATAAAAAAATAAATAGTACATAATTGCTGAATAAAAATGTTATTATTTAAAAAGTACTAGTTAAAAACGAAAAACCGTGTTCGCCTACTTTAAGAAATTGTCAATTTTGATCATCAATAGTAGTCTGTCATCACCTCGTCATTTGCGAACGTGATGAAAGACATGCAAAAAATTCAGACACATCGTTAAGAAATGTTTGGATACAAATTTTTTAAGCTATAAGTAAGTAATGTTTGTTTCATATCAGATTAATTTAACTTTAAATTTTCTAATTTTACTCAAATAACGTGTCAAAAATATATAAATTTATTTTAGGAAGAAGTTTAAATTCAAAATTTTGTTTGCTTACAAATTTCTTAAAATTTCTTAAAATTTAAGAAAATGGCTGCTTTTAAGAAAATTAAACAAAAATAGAGCATATATTTGACATTCCAGTCTATATAATTTCTATCTGAAAGACACCAGAATATGTTACTTACTGTAAATAATAAATTTAATGCTTTAGCTTTCAATTAATAAAAACATATTTAAACAAAGCTTTGTTTTCGTTGAATTATGGCGCTTTTTTCATCGTGATATGCCGCTTTTTTACGTGACCTAATGGAGGAACCTAATATATATATATATATATATATATATATATATATATATATATATATATATATATATATATATATGTTCAGAGCTGTTTTTTCAAACACACACACACACATATATTTATTTACAACGTAACTGTAGACCTTGATACTGCACTTTATTCGGTAGTGATATTCAGTAATGGTCTGCTGACATTGATCTACTCTCATACACAGACGAACAATATATATATATATATATATATATATATATATATATATATATATATATATAAGTGGTTTCATTAAATGTCTCGGAGGTATTGATATCGTAACGGTGCTAAAGAAAGCAGAATAAAGCCGCTTGACACAGATTGACCTTAAACTTTGTCACACAAAGACATTAGGTTATAACGTTCTCCTACACTTCTGTTGTTTATAGTAGTACTTTAATAGAAAGTGTGTAGCGTGTGGTCGCCATCCCACACCACAGAATTTCCACCAATGGCCATGGTTTGCGCAACAGTTTTTGGCCAAGTACAACAAGACCGACACCACCATATCTTCAGGATCTCAGCCCTTGCGACGTTTTGCTCTTCATATATCAAAACCCACTTGAAAGGAACAAGATTTGAAATCTGTGAGATTGTGACTAGGCAGCTGCTCGCTATATCAAATAAAGGAGTTCCAATGCTGTTTCTGTTAATGGAAATGATGCTGGAAAAAAAGTGTGAGTCTTCAGAAGGGAACTACTCCGAAGATTAAATGCCGATTCTATGTTATATGCTGTAGTTTTCCAGACCCGATAATTTTTTTCCAACCTCGTATATATATTTATATATATATATATATATATATGTGTGTGTGTGTGTGTGTGTGTGTGTGTGTGTGTGTGTGTGTGTGTGTGTGTGTGGACACGGACAGACAGGCAGAGAAAGAGATAGAGTGAGAGAGAGGTGTAAGATAGAGAAAAAGAAGTGCTTCTCGATTCGTGAACGCGTGAGATATCACCTTAATGGATATGCGTGCGAAGCGTCGATTCTATTACACCCGTTTAAGAATTTTTCATCTTCAAACGAAACCTCTTTCCAAAGGCTCCCTCCAAAAATAAATTAATAAAAAGATGAAAAAAATAGAAACATCACATTCCTAAACTCCGATCGGCTAAAAATCAACCTTCTTCTACCCATTAATAAAAAAAATATATTTTTTCAGATTCACTTCTCCTTGACCTTTGATATAATGTTCTCAACTTGATATTATTGGCAAATACAGAAACTTTCCAATGTTGAATCTCGCTATCGTAACTATGAGCTCTCGCATCTGGACGTACACCAGACCATGACATCTAGATTCCTAATATTAAATCCTTTGTCTGATTATCTTTAATATAATTCCGTAATAAGTACAATGAATTATTTCTGATGTTAGTAGACAACAGTATCAATATCAGAAGCTAATATATCTTTCTGTTTCTCGATTCGTCGTGTAATAGTGAAGGTCTCGGGACACTTAATAAAACTTTCACTTTGATTCTTCGTGGTTACTCACAATACAGTTGATGTAAATTTGCATATGAATTTGGTTTCATCGATTAGATCACTAAATTCAGTGCTGTTCAGGTTATAAGGCATTGTGCGTGCGCGCTCGTGCGTGCCGACAGATAATAGCTGGATTGCATCCAAAGAAAACAATAGAGACATTCCTCTTTTATGAACCACGTCATTTGAAAAGGTGCACGATAATGGTCAATGGCAATGCCAATGGTAAAAGTAATATTAGTCGTTTCCTTGTAAGGAAACATTCAGCATTAAAAGACCTAGCAGGCGGTGCTATTGGAGTTCGTCTTATCTTCATTCCATTGCTATTGATCTGCGATAAATGTGTACATGTTGCGTTGCAGCTCAGACCAGACACCAGTTTCGTTTACAAGGTGCAGTTTCTTTCAATCAAACGCTTGTGGCTTAAAAACTACCCTTCGGATAGACCATAACCCACGAGTAAAGAACAAAACAATTTCTAGTAGTAAACCAAATTTATTCTTAGGTAGTAACTTACTGCTATAATCGAGCGAAGTAGAGAGGAGGCGTAAGTGAGAAGGGTACAGAGCTCAGCGGCCGCCGTCCCTCTCCGACCTTCAGCGAAGCCTGCTTCGTTCCATCTGTTTTCCTTTTCGCGGAATGGTCAATTTGATAAGCTACAGTTTTCTTTGTCCTGTCATCTTCGTCTAAAAAAGTAATTAATTTTCCTTCCGGCACATTCTTTCAGTCTGAGCCTCTTGCTCTTGTACTTTGAAGTTCACTCCAGTTACTGATAGCCATCGGTCGAAAGTAAATGTCCCGTATCGAGTTGTTTAAAATTTAACATGGCCTTAGCATGACTCATATTGCTCCATAATATCTGTTTTTTCTCATTTGAAATGTAATGGTAATATTAAGCCGCTCCTCTATATGGAAACGTTTCGTATTTATTGACCGAGCAGCCAGTGCTACTGGAGTTCCTTCCGCTTTATTCTTCAATTCTTGGCTGTCTATTTGGGCTGAAATTGTAGTGGTTATGTATTAGCCGGTTTCTTATGAGGAAAAACTCCGGATTCATTGACCGAACAGCCAGTATTTTTTTTATTGTGATCACCCCATGGAAGGCAATAAAGCCACTGAGATACAAGGGGTTACTGGGTGTGGAAGAATTAGAAACAGAAACATTACTAATAAGCGATAAAAAGAAAAGTAATCAGGAAAACAGTAGATAGCGATTGACATAGCGTTTACATTTTTTAATTTTAAAGTTGCTTGAAAAGCCTGGAGCCGGAAGAGAGTGCTACAAGCATGAAATGTGAACAAAGAAACTGTTTGTACAAAAATTACGCTTACATCTACCCAACTCAACTGTAAATTGATGAGAACTCGCTTCCAGTCGAGTACACCGCTAATATCCATAAAGTTTAGGTGCCATAGCGAAGTGCTGGACCGAAAAATTACCATACTATTTATAGAAAAGACACAGAATGGAAACCTTACGGCGGTGGGAACGTAACTGAAGCCGAGCTACCAGGTCAGTATTACTACAAACTAAGATGGATATATATGAACACAGAGAGATAAATAACACAGATAGATAGATAGATAGATAGATAGATAGATAGATAGATAGATAGATAGATATGAAGAGGCTGAGATAGATGAAAGAACGGACTAGTATAGATAGATAGATGAAAGAACGAGCTGACAGATAGATGAAATGACAGCCTGAGACAGATAGATATGAAGAGGCTGAAGATAGATAGATAGATAGATAGATAGATAGATAGATTGATAGATAGATAGATAGATAACGAAAAGACTGAGACAATGAACGGAATGAATAGTAGAAGTTATTGAATGGACGAGCAAGGAATATATTAAAACGATAAGCAGATGTGAAAACACTGAGATAGACAAAATAGACTGAAACACATATAGAAGGATATATAGATAGAGAATATGAATACAGATGGATAGATAGTGATAGAATGTGAACAGATACAGGCAGAGGGAGAGAGAATGTGAACAGAGATAGATAGATAGATAGATAGATAGATAGATAGATAGATAGATATGAATAGACTGAGATAGATGATAGATAGATAGATAGATAGATAGATAGATAGATAGATAGATAGATGGAATAGACTGAGATAGATAGATAGATAGATAGATAGATAGATAGATAGATAGATATGAATAGACTGAGAGAGAGAGATATGAATAGACTGAGATAGATAGATAGATAGATAGATAGATAGATATGAATAGACTGAGATAGATAGATAGATAGATAGATAGATAGATATGAATAGACTGAGATAGATAGATAGATAGATAGATAGATAGATAGATATGAATAGACTGAGAGAGAGAGATATGAATAGACTGAGATAGATAGATAGATAGATAGATAGATAGATAGATAGATAGATAGATAGATAGATATGAACAGAAATAGATAGATTGAAAGATAGAGATGAACAGAATGTGGACAGAGATAGACACGTAGAGATAGAGAGGGAATGTGAAGATAGATAGATAGATAGATAGATAGATAGATAGATAGAATATAAACACAGATTGATATAAAGACATATAAACAAAGACATAGATAAAAACAATATAAATAATGTTAATGTTTTTGTTTTTTTGTAAGAAACTAGCTCATTTTCTTTTTCTACTATACTAAATTTGTTATGTAATTTTTATACCAATGTTCACTCTATACAAGGTCCAAGAGCCACTCAATGTAGATGATTAGTATTGTATTAGTGTAAGAACAGACAAGAAATCCATGAGGTTATTTAGGAAATATAACGGTTAACCCGAGACATGAAAATCTCAATATTATAATGATTGGGAAAACATCGTGTCGGCAGTGTGTTCCACAAAGCAGCAGTTCTTCGAAAGAAGCTGTCCGAGTGGATCTTATTTCTTAATAATGCAATACAACGGGAATAGGAGATGATTCACATTTGAGTATGTACGTGGCTTGACGAGTCCCAATTTAAAATGTTAGGGGTAGCTGGACTAAGGAATGTAGCTTGTTAGGACATATGCCATGGAAGGAGTGTTAGAACAGCGAGAAGTTCGCATCATTTTGTTTGTGGGAAAGTGGAAGTAGTATGGAAAATAATTCATCACCCATAAGGCCGCGTAGATGATTTTGAACTATTTCAAGACAGACAAGGTAGGACTGGGATGTTCCAGCCCAGATATAGCAGCAATAGCCCATTTTTAGTTTGAACTCGCTCTTGTAAAGATATACTATAACAGGGAGAGTAGATACTTACTGGAGTCAGACACTTACTAGAGTGGTACAATGTACCGACTATTTACCCAGCATTTACAACAATATATCGAATATGCCATTTCCACTTGAGGTCTGCGGAGAACTTGAGTCCCAAGAGACATTAAATCCGCCTCGAGAGAACACACAACTATCATGATAGGTGTAATTTCGGGGTCTGCTCAGTGGTGGTAGAATGTTACTAGTTTGGTTTTGGCAGTATTGTATTTTACAAGCCAAACCTATCCCTCATTGAGTCACCTGGAATAGGTTTGAGGAAAGATGAGCTGATAAGTGCGGTTTTCTAGATTTTGGGGGGGGTTCACCTAGAAACTTTTGTGCCATCCGTATAGATGCTCACTAATGATCGCATAGTTTGTTTTTGATTTTGTCTCTCATACTGTATATTAGGTTCAGTTGGGCACAGCCTGTGTAAACAAGAGCACCATGACGCAATTCACTCCACCAAAAATTAGGAAACGGCATGCTCTACTGCTTGGCATTCACGCCGGAATCTCCAATACAAATATTTCAATGTGTTTGGTATCAAGTCGAGAACATTGCAGAGGATTCTGAAAGCGTTGGATGAGTCTAATGGTGATTACGAAGTTATGGAAACCTCAAACCCGACATGGAGGCCTACATCAACTACCTTGAGGAGGTTTTACTGCCCTGGGTCAAGAGGGTGGCTGCTGGAAGACCCTATGTCTGGCACTCTGCACCATGCTACACAAGCAGGAGAACCCAGCCATGGCTGTCAGATAATTATATATATATATATATATATATATATATATATATATATATATATATATATATATACACGCAAACACAGAGGGTGCGATGGATAAATTGTCGCTACTTTATATTTTTTAATTTGCCGCTTGCAGGTAGTTTTTTTTGTTTTTTTTTATATTAGGTTCAGTTGGGCACAGCCTGTGTAAACAAGAGGACCATGACGCAATTCACTCCGCCAGAAATTTGAGAACGGCATGCAGAACTGCTTGCCATTCGCGCCGAAAGCTCCAATACGAACACTTCAGAGTGTTTGGGTGTCAACCTGAGGACAGAGCAGAGGATTGGGAAAGAGTTGGATGACATAAAGGTGTTTGGTTTGATCACTTGTGATGGCGACGTGATGCCTTCATTAATTTTCCTACAGGGCCTCAAACTCAATAGGGAGGCCTACATCAAGTGCCTTGACGAGAGGGCGCTGACTTGGGTCAAGAGGGTGGCTGCTGAAAGACTCTCTATCTGGCAAAAAGACTCCATGCCACACAAGGTTGAGAACCCAGTCATGGCTGTAAGACAGTTTCTGCGACTACATCATCCCTCACATCTGGCCACTTAACTCCTCAGGTTGCAAAACCCTTTGATTATTATGTCTGGGGTGCAGTTGAGCAAGAAACCAACAAAACTCCTTGTAACACCAAAGATGAACTGAAGACAAGGATTATGGCAGCAGTCACCAACTTAAACAAGGATACCACCCAGAAGAGTTGCAGGAGATTTCGAAGTCGTCTGGAGGCCGGGGTCAAAGCCAATGACGATTTTATTGAATAAATTTACTCTTTAGTATTTCAAGATATTTTTGAGTAATTTTGGTAAGTATATCTGTTAAAATGAGATGTCAGTATAATTTTCATTTTTAGACGGCAATTTATCCATCGCACTCTGTATATACATTATATATGCTCCAAAGTTGCCATAGCCGGAAGAAGATCCTACTGTCTGTAAAAAGCTCCCAAAAAGCCGCTGACAACTAATTCCATCAAAACGGAGAAGCGGCGAAGTCGGACGACTAGCGCCTCATAACCAGCTGCATTGGGTAGATGGAGCACATCAGACCGGGAAGACATTCCATCTAAGGGAAGGAAAACTCTTATTTTAAACCTCTCCTGCCTTGCGGTCATGTCCAAGGAAAGAGAAAGTTATGGAACTACCACCCGCCTTAAGATAGATGTTAACCCGTCACGGTCTGCTCATTTCAGTGGGTACCTGAAGTTTATATCTTCTAGCTTGTCAAGCAGCTCGATAACCATAATCTTCGTGTCGCAAACTGGAATGAGCGAACCATGAGCATAGGTCTATTTGATGACTTTCAGAAAATTGTTGATTCTTGCAAGACTGCAGTGATCGATCTTGAGCTAATTGACGTGACAGCTCTACAGGAAACACGACTTCCAGACAGGGGCTATCTCGAAAGGAAGAACACTACACATGCCCGAAATCAAAGACTAGTTCTAGGCTCAACTTGACATCGTTATCAAGCGCATCCCATCATATGAACATATTTCCTCCTTGATACATCAACATATATATATATATATATATATATATATATATATATATATATATATATATATATATATATATATATATACCCCGGTGTGGACGCATCAGTTAACAGTTAAATTTCTATTTCTGACACGAACCTAGTCCACACCGGGTTGATAAGACAGACGACCGATATGTTTGTCTGCCGAAATAGGCTATTCCCCATATGAGGTGATTTTTGATTTTATTGTTTATTAATTATTTGCTCTGTTATAATAAATACAGTGAGCTCTTTTTGTGGATCAGTTTTAATATTTTATATTACTAGGATGCACTTGGATTATATACCAACGGATTTGTTACCTTTATTTTATATATATATATATATATATATATATATATATATAACAGGTATTTGGATTCGGCTATCCATATACCAACTTTCATATGATTCTAAAATAGTTTTAGATGGCTAAATCGGAGATAAGAATGTTATGATATTCCATATAGGGATTGCATGCAGTCAATGTTGCTTTTACTGACCAAGTAACATATATGTACTCGTTTCCACGATGACGGGATGTGGCACAAGGCCGGTTTAATGTGAGGAGCCCGAATACCAAAAAATTGTCTAGCCCATCGATTGCGCTGTCATCGCAATTCCTGATGATCCCTCCCCACTTTAATCCAATGAAATAGGTATTGCTGCAGTCTCTTAATCCGCGGGACCGGACAGCTGCACTCTGTCCACATACAGAGAGGCAAGGGAAGCGGGTTCATCCAGAGACGCAAATGCTTATGATACGATCAGTGCGAGTACGATGTTATTCGCTCATCCTCCACCCAAGGTACTCTATACTGACAGAAGAACCGTTGACACTACCTTTTGTAGCCAGCCTATACATAACGACTACTCATGCATATATACTAATTAGTCATAACACTAAACAATTACGATTACGCAGATTACACGAATCAAAATGCATCACGCATGGCTTGTTGCATCAAAATTGAACACACTACTTATTTATAAAGAATCCTAAATTAAACGTCAATTAACCCTATAAACGAAATACAATTAACCCTATAATAATAAATAACTTAATTAATTATTACAATTAACGCTATAATTCGAAATACAAGCTATATTGAGAAATATATCAGAATAGAATTTTTTTTAAAAAGCAACAGCGTAGCAAAATAGATAGTTAAAATACATTGAGACTTTTTCTGCCCGTCCTGGGTAAGACGATAAACTTCATCCAACAGCAAGGTCTCTGATCAGGAGGTTTTGAAGAGCGTGGGACAACCTCTTAATTGCTGGTAATCGCAGATCCATCCTCACCTGGAGTGGTAACACCTGTTATGGTCACAGCTATGGGCAAATAGTTAACCCCTAAACTGGGGTCAAAACGTTTAAAAATAGGATGTATTACCAGCAATACATTTTTGTAAAATATTATTACCAGCAATGTATTTTTGAATAAAAAAAATTATCAGCAATACATTTTTGAAAAAAATATTACCAGTAATACATTTTTGGAAATAATATTACCAGCAATACATTTGAAACAAAAATATTGCCAGCAATAAAAATCTTTCGGCATTAAATATCCAATTGAGGTTGATATACTGTAAAACAAAGCAAACCAAACCTTTTTTCTGCTTATCACCGTAAACAGTAACTTTAGCAGTGTTAGTACAAATTGTATAAAAATCCATCTCAAAATGGCGGCTGACATTTTGCGAACGCTTCCTGTATGTGAAGTAAAAATGTTTACAATATTATCTCACTGTGCCTGCAAATTTTATATCGAGCTTGCAACCGTTAAATTGATATGTCAGCGAAAATATTTACTTGAGTATGTAAAGAGGAAGAATAGAAAGAAAAACAAAAAGTAACAATAAGAAAAGGAAGATAAAGGTCGAACGGGAAGAAATGAAAAATAAAAGAAAACAAGATGAGGTGAAAAGGGGTAAAGGAAGAAAGAAAACAAGAGAAGAGAAAAACAAAGAGAAACGTCGAAGAAAAATATTGGAATC